ACAAGTGGAAGAAACAAATCTTTTCTCACTGGATTCTGATTAAGCTACTATGTGAAGAGTTATTCAGAAGACACTCAGTAGCTGTGGCATGTGAGAATACAGGAGCTGGGATATTATAAAGGCTGTAAATCTCAAAACAGAAATCTAAACTCTGACCAAAAAAAACCATACCACACCAGAAAACAACAACAACAAAAAACAAAACACCAAACCAAACACACACCCCCCACCCCACTCCAAAATCTGAAGTAAACTAGAATAAAATTTAAAGGAGTCTAACATAGTAGTACACACCTTGTAAACCACAGGATCTGAGGCAACAGGATAAGGAGCTTGAGGCTAGCTTAGGTTACACAGTGAGGCTCTCTCAAAATATTAGCAAAGGGGTATAGCTTAAGGATGGATGGAGTAGGTTCCTAGCATGTAAGAGTCCCTGGATTTGATTCTCAGGACAGTGGGAAAGAGAATATATAAATGAGAATAAAGATAAAAAGCCATATTATTTTCAAGTGTTCACTACCCACAGGTATGTAAAGCATAATTAATTATGACCATCCACACTGACTTATGTTACTCCAATAGAGAACAGTCTTTCTCAGTGTTGCTGTGATACAAAGACACTGGTGATACCTTGCAAAAACTATTTTCCCCAAACAAACTGACAAGATGAAATACTACCTGCAAATGGCTGCTTGTGGTGGCATAAACACCACACAAGTGAAAACTCTCACATTCACCACAGGAAATCAGCTGAATAAAATATAGCATAGGCACCAATCTCAAATATAGGATGCGGCTGCACAAGGAATGGGAAAGAAGGAAGGATCTATTTTGATTTGGAGTGAACTCTAGGAAGATATGACTGGTGTGTAAAGGGGAAAGGCAAATATAAACAACCTATGTAGGGCTGGAGAGAAGGCTCAGGGGTTACGAGCACTGACTGTTCTTCCAAAGGTCTGGAGTTCAATTCCCAGCAACCACATGGTGGCTTACAACCATCTATAATGAGATCTGGTGCCCTCTTCTGGCCTACAGACATACATGCAGGCAGAATACTGCATGCCTAATAAGTAAATAAATCCTTAAAAAACAAAAAAAACAACCTATGTAAAAAAATACTTTCATAAAGAAAACAAACTCTAAAACTCAGGGGAAAAAAAACAAAACAAACAAACAATCAATTCTATAGAGTAACATAAAACTCTAGCAGTACATTAAGCTATTGCTTACAAAAAGCAATTCACAAGATTTTAAACACAGAATTTTACTTTATCTCCTAGTGATATCTTAATGAAAATAACATGGATTGCATTTAGCAGCATTAGCGCTATTCTGAAATATGTAAAAAACATGATATTTAAATTAAGAAAAGTATAATTAGAAGAACCAAGATACTCAGCACGAGACACAGGTCAGAACCAAATTTATAGCCTGTATTTGTGAATTTGAAATGTCATTATGTGTTCACAAATTCTCTTTAAAGATGGAGGAAAGCAGTGGTGGCTCATGACTTTAATCCCAGCACTTGGGAGGCAGAGACGGGCGGATCTCTGTGAGTTCGAGACCAGCCTGGTCTACAAGAAAGAGCTAGTTCCAGGACAGCCTCCAAAGCCACAGACAAACCATGTCTCAAAAAAAACCAAAATAAAATAAAATCATGGACTTTGGCAATATCATTCACAGCTGTTAAAACTTTTAAAGGCTTTACGTCAGATGGGTCAACTTTCAACATCAGAATTTGTTAATTAATCTTAGCATATTTAAGGAAATCCATGTTGTTTGCTGAAATGATCAATAGGAAGGATACATCATCATTCATGAAATATTCTTGTCAAAGAAACAGAATCCAAATCCTGACCAACACCTTAGGTTTATGCTGTCCAACACAAGTCGTCACCAGCTACATACTTGTGTTTAAAAAGATATAGTAGTGTCAGTTCAACTACAATATTTAAAAAGACTACTCTAGCACTGATATCCAACATTTCTATTTTGACTAAAAAAAAAAAAAGGTCTACTACACTGTCACACACAGGTGTGGTCCCCAGTATGCCAGATTATATAGGATACCAAGAAACAAATGAGACATTTGAAACAACCTACCACCTCCAGAATGTAGGAAATACTGTCATGATCAATTATGGAGGGAGGAGAAAATAGCTGTAGTAGAAACTAGTATAGATTTACTGTTCAGATTCCAACTTAATACCTAGTAAACCACTAGGAATGGTTTGGTCAGGAATGGTGGTACACTCCTATACCTAGATCTGGGAGGCACAGGCAGGAGGGTCAGGGGTACAGTGGGCCCTGCCTCTCCACTGCAACCCCACAAAAGAAAGGAAGCAGGGCATGGCAGTACATACAACCGCTCTTGCAGAAAGCTTTACAAGTTTCAGGCCAGCCTGGTCTATACAGCAAGTTCCAGGCCAGCCAGAGCTGTCTAGTGAAATACTGTTTCAAAAACACCACAGAAATGAAGCAGACAGAACATGGAAAAGACAGATGAATAATAAAGTAACACACTGTCTAGTTGAAGAGTAAGGATGAGGAAAAGAACCTTGGGTAGGCTGGTGGTAGCGGTGGTGGTGGTGGCAGGGGCACACACCTTTGATCCCAGCACTTGGGAGGCGGAGGTGGAGGTAGAGGCGGAGGCGGAGGCGGAGGCGGAGGCAGAGGCAGAGGCAGAGGCCAGCCTAGTCTACAAGAGCTAGTTCCAGGACAGCCTCCAAAGCTATACAGAGAAACCCTATCTCAAAAAACTAAAAAGAACTTTGGGTACCAAGCCTAAATTAGAGCCAGCAATGTTCCTTTGTAAAACCATATAATCATTAATGCCTTACATGTGCTTTCCTATAATTTTCCTTTTGGAAACTGTATCTTGTTCTTCCTACCCCCAAAATTGTAAATCTTTATCTTACAATATATAGTTTTAGAAATATACTAGTTTCAAAGTGTAGGATAAAGCTACAAATAATTTCAAATTCAGAAATCTAGACAAAGATAAATATATAAAACTATTTGCCTGGTTTCCAAAGAAGTTACATCAAAAGTGCATATCTATTTTCTAAGACAATTCTCTTAAAAGGAAGTGTGATGGTACAGCACTGGCCTAGAATACCTGAGATTCCAGGTTCAAATCCGCTGTACCAAAATGAAAAATGGGTAGTATGATCAACACCAGACTGCTCTGCACAGGACACACAGCACAGGCTATGCTAATGACAAAGCCCACCAAGTATCTATTTTCCATACCATTTAACAATGAGACTAAGTGGACCGAGTAGGGTGGACTGCACGGGACAACTATTTCTAAAAGGTCAAAACACAAGACAGATGAGTGCTGGCCACGTGACTTACACCTGCACATGATCAAAAAACTAAAGATACCTGGTTGTGCTCAATTCTTCTTTGCTTGAGTGTTACTGGAGTCTTTGCTCTGCCCTTTAGTGGCTCTCTCTTCTCAAGCTTGAGCTCTATTTTAGAGTCTGGAAATAATATTGGAGAAATCATTATTTACTGAAACACTTTAGGTATGTTTTACTAATATCACTTTGGAACCTTGGTTTTAGGTATGTTAGTGCACATGACAATCTGTTTACTGCAATACTTCAGTGAAGTAAATTTCTTAGTGGTATTATTCATCAAACGAACCCTCTTACAATACAGTCCAAATCTCTACTTTTATAATCTTAGTCCATTTTTATCCCTTTCCAGTGTTTAATCTGATTACTCCTTCCTATTTATTCTCTTCCATTTTCCCACCTCTAGAATAACCTCAAACTTAAAAGAGAATTCAATGGCTCTTGTGGAGGCGCTTAACAAAAATAAATAAATAAATAAATGAAAATAAAAATCAACGCAAATGTGGAAGTATTGTTTATGCACTACATTACTGCTATACAGCAAAGGTTACTATTAAATCAAAATTTCACATGATTGTGTAGCACCAATCATTTGACAGTAAATGGTAACTGCCAAGGAGAGTCTAAATTAGGGGGTGCAGATCAGTAGTATATGTGCAGGATGCTGGGTTCAATCCTTAGCACCAAAAATAAGCAAATAAAATGATAGTCTCCCAATAGTTTAAAAAAGAGCTGAGTATTCTAATTCTTTTAGTCTTGATTTTACCACAGTTTGAAGACCTATATAGAATCTTATTTAACTTCTCAGCAGCCATGGTGGTGCACATCTGCAATTCTAGCACCTGAGGCTGAAGAGACAGAAGGATCTGGAGTTCAAGACCAGCCTATGCTACATAGTGAGACTGCCTCAAAAAAAGCAAAAACTTAACTTTTCTACTTTTGTGGCCACTTATCATAGTAAAGAAAGTCAATTTATTGCAAAAATTTATTCCAAAAATTTGCTTTCTCCGCAAAGAAACAAGAATAGAATCAGTTCTTAAACCTTAATTTTATACAAGCTCAATGTGGCCACGATTTAAAGTGATCAGGATAACTTGGTCTCTTGCTGGCCTTCTATGCTAATCTTATACACAATATATGAGCTACATAATGAGTCCAAATACACCTTCAATCCCTCTCTCCCCCAAGATAGTGATTGTTAATGAAAATAGTTCAAATAGGTCAATTAAGAGTAAGCAACCAAGTCTATGAGCATCTGTATTTGGTACACTCATCAGTATTATAAAGTCTACTCTGTTCTTTTTTTTGAGACAGCCCAGAGCAAAAAAACAAAACAAAACAAAAAACAAAACAAAACAAAACAAAAAAACCAAAAACCCTATTAGTGAAATAGACACTGACTAGACAAATTAGTTATCTGGTTACAAATTAAGTCCTTGGTTCAAATTTAGATTTAAACAGCCAATTAAATATATGATCCTTAAACAGTGCAAAGGACATGACAACTAGAATATTTTCAATTATACTATTGGAATGTTTCAATGATGAAAAGGAAAAGGTATGTTCATCCAAATATTCCACTTGTTGAAACTCCGAAAAGAAAGCACACATAAAACATGTTTCTGGAGACCACACAAAACTGTTCAAATTTAACAACTTTATTGAATTTGTAGACGCATTCTACAGGAATACATTGCTTTAAAGAAATCACACAGCACTTAACAGGTACATGTATGCATGTACATTTTAGAAGACAAATAACAAAGCTGCAGAGATGGAGTGTAGAGTCTAAGAACATGGTAGTAGTAGACACATACACTCAGGGACTGTATTTACTTATGCTTAAGACTACTTTCCGCATCTCTACAATCAGGCTACCTTACCTTACAACCATACAAATGAAAACAGGATAATACATTGCTTCATACAGACACAGACATTAGGGAATAGCAAAATTTCTTAAGGATTTTAGAAAATAATTCAAATGTGCTTTTAGCATTCTGATCTGAAATTTGACTACCCCAGATATATGACATCTTTTTAAATCATGTAAGTAAAACAGCCCTTTCTAGTGTCTTATTCATCTAACAAATCATGTTGAGGGAACATGAGCTATACCAGAATATCCGTGGCTGTGTTTCTCAAAGTGTGGTCACATGCTCGTATGACCCATGAACTTCCGGCTATCTTCTCTATCAGAACGTACAGGTGTACATTGTTTTTATTAGTTTACTAAAAAAATAAGCACCCATGTGAGTCTGTGTGCACACATACATACAGGTATGCAATGCATCTCTTACCGGTCTCTTACAAAGCATGACTAGATTTAAATTCTTTCATTAAACTTTCGTTGGATGTCGGTGAACTGAACTCAGGGCCATATGCACAAGTACATGCTTCTTACCACTGAGATGCAGCCCCTCTCCCCTCGATTCTTTTTTGTTTTAATTTTTTTAATAATTTATAAACTTTATTTTTGTGTGCATTGGTATGAAGATGTCAGATCCCCTGGAACTGGAGTTACAGACAGTTATGAGCTGCCATGTGGGTGCTGGGGATTGAACCTGGGTCCTCTGGAAGAGCTGCAAGTACTCTTAACCACTGAGCCATCTCTCAAGCCCCTCTCCCTTTGATTCTTATACAATGTCTGTGAATCAGCAAGTTTGTGTGCTGTCACTGAAAGCAGTTTGTTGTAGACAAAAACATGAACAAGGATGTGAACAAACTTTAGAATGTGTAGATACTTAGCCAAGAGTGATGAAAAGAATTAAACTACAAAGGTCACCTGTAGACGCTTTGCAATGTCATGAGTGGACAAAAGGCTTACTAGCAAGAGAGATTTGTGTTATGAAAATAAGCAGCAGAAAGCAGATCTGAAAAAAATGAGTCTGCTGAGCAGTGGTGGCACACGCCTTTAATCCCAGTACTCACAGTGCAGATGGATCTCTATGAGTTCTAGGACAGCCTGGGCTACTGAGCCTGTGGGGGGGGACCAGGGAGGAGTGAGGATTCTACTGATATTTTAGTAGTGGAATTCTTTTTATTTCTAAGAGCTGTAAAATATTTAACTAAAAGGTAACAATGTAAGACTTGTGTAAAAAGTGTTATGTAAAACAGGAAGCTGTCAACTTATGTGAGGCAAATATGTGATCTAAACTTAAACTGTACTAGGCTTCTGTATGTGTAATTATACTATAATTTGATGAGTAGAAGCTGAATACCTTGAAACTAGCTCTATTAGACTAAAAGTTACTGAAAACAAAATTCTGGCATAGAAATTGCTAGAATTCCTAGAAATGTTCATAAATTCTACAAATCAAAGGTAACTTTCTCTGTCCTTGACTTTATTACTGTTTATTTCCACGCCTTTTAATAACTTTGTGTATGTCCCCTCCAAACAATGTTCCGCCTTTAAAGGGGGCAACAGTCAGTTTATTCTTAGAAGCTGGGTTAATCTTACAGTCCTTCAACCACAGATGACGCCGCCCCACAGTAGAAGAGCCCATGGCATAGGCAGACATCCTTACTTCATCAAATGCAGCATCACAGAGATATGAAGCTGCATCATAGGATCTGCTCAGAATCTCAAGTGCTTGAGGTGCACGGCTAGGATCTGCACTAATAGCCTGTGCAGCCTGACTTATGTTGGCTTGCAGAGACTTAGCTACAAAGGCAGTGTGGGCTGCAATCTGCAGTGCTGATGCTGCAGCCTCATAAGATCTACAGAGAGCTAAGTCCAAATGTTTATCACAAGACTCAGTGGAGGACGCCTGAATTGCTGCTCGTGGGGTGGTTTCAGAAACAAGCCCCAAGATTTCATCATCTACTGCTGGAACTGATAATATCCGTGTTGCCTCGCTGGAAGAAACTGGATATTTGCATGCCAACGAAGGTAGCTGCCTATCAGTTTGCTGCCACTCCTCTTCAATTACTTTTAAAATAGAATCGTGTAGAGGAAAAGATGGTTCTGAGGCATCTATTTTATCATGCTGTGGTTGCTCGGACATTTCTATCCCTAAGGTAGTAAGGGAATGAGAGACAACACTTTTGGCAAAAGAAGACATATGTTCAGATTCAGGTACATTCTGAAATGCCACATGTGACCCTGAACCCCCTTCCTTTGGTGGGGTCTCACTGAGTCTAGGAATTGTGCGTGGAGGAGACAGGGATTCAAAGTCTTGACGGTTAGACTGGCCAAATCTCTTACATATGTTTTCTACATCCAGTGTGGGTACAGAATTAGAAATCCCAGGCAAACTGCCGACCCCACCCTGGACTAACAGAAAATTGACATAATCTCTGATTTCACGAGCAAGTGGTGGAGAAATGACTTGTGATCTCTCTGACTCTTGGAGAACTTCTCTTTCACTAGAGAGAATTGACTGATCTGAAACATCAGACCCCTCAGTACACGATGGCCGAGTTCTACTTTTCCCTCCACGGTAAATATTTTCTACTGTGTCTTTACAGTAAGTAGTAGTGGTTTCTCTTATCCGTGAAGGAGAAGCTGCAGCAGAGGCCAACCTGGCAGCGAGTTCATGCTGAGAAGATGACGAAGAACTTTTCTCTACGTATCTATCATAGGTAGACTCGGAAGGAATAAATACATTCCGTCCAGGGGCTACCTTCTGTACCTGTCCCCTCCTAGGCAAGGCTGTGTCAGTAAAAGGCTCCCTAGGTGGGTCTCCCTTAGAAGTATGTACTTTCTTAGCTGCCTGCAGTTCAGTCCTGCCCAAAGGAGGACGGGTGGAGATTTCAGGAAAAGAAATACCCTGGAAAAATCCACCAGAGGAAGCAGATGCAAGTTCAGAAAAAGGAACAAAATCCCTAGTGGACTTCACTTTCTTGTGTTCTTTCTTCTTTCCTGTAGAGGCAAAAGAGGCAGGAAGTTTAAGCATGACTGGTTTGGGCTGGTCATATTCTCTGCCTCCTTGCTAAGACAGTGCTGTTGAAGAAAAGGACCCTATCCTCCACACTCTCAGCAACCAATTTGATACCAGTGCATTGGAAAGCATGGTCAAATTAAATATTTACAAAAATAGCAAATTATGAGTTAAAACTCTTAAGTATCAAACTCTCCATTTATTCTAATTTAAAAAGTAATGTACTTCCTGATCTATTCTCAAAAATATTTAAAATCATGGTCAAAATTGCCATGAAATCAATGGATGTAAGCAAAATCTTTTAAATAACTTGTATGCCTATCAATAGAGAAGAAAATGCCATATTTAAATGTTAAAACTAAATATTAATTATAAGGAATAAAAATATAAACATGTAATATGATCCAAAAAACATAACACAAAACAAAATAACACATGAAAGAATCAGCACATCATTTATATATAATTTTTAAAAACAAAGCAGCATTCAAACTGATCATTAAATATAAAAATTGGAAAGATAAATACCAAATTAATGGGGGCTAGAGAGATGGCTCAGTGGTTAAGAGCACTAGCTGCTCTTCCAGGGGTCCTGAGTTCAATTCCTAGCAACCACATGGTGGCTCACAACCATCTGTAATGCCACCTGATACCCTCTTCTGACCTAGGCAGAACACTGCATACATAATAAATAAATAAATAAATAAATATTTAAAGAAAATACCAAATTAATGATTTCTTCTGGAGATGTGATAATGGAGAAAGAGAACTTTGCCATTACAAAAATTCCATTTGAAGCAAAAGTTAAATGGCTATTTAGACAAAAAATTGTATGTATGTATGTATGTATGTATGTATGTATGTATGTATGTATGTACACTCCGTTGTCAATACTGTTTTAAATTTTACCTTCTTCATAGTTAACACTGAGTCAGGAAAAAACCCCACATATTTGATTAACAGTATTCACAATTTTACCTTCGTCATTGTCACTGTATCTGTCAGAGTCATTACTTCCATTTTGTCTTGCATTTTCCGCTGAGGAAGAGACTGTTGGCAGAGGAGTAGAAGATCGGGATTCTGTCCCCTGTTCCCTCAGTTTCAACAGTTTTTTCTCATACAGCTTCCTGGTTGTCCCTGTGTTAAGGCAAAAGCTCCATCAGTATTGTCATAAGACTATCTTTACAAAACTAAAATCAAACAAACAACAAAAAACTGTTATGTGTATGCATACGTATGTACATTAGTGCAGATGCCTGGAGACCAGAGGAGGTAGATCCCCTGAAGCTCGAGTTACAGGACATTGGGAAAGACTCAGGTCCTGGAAAGAGCAGCATAGACTCTTCAAACGGGGACCATCTTTCCAGCCCCTACAGGAAACCAGATTTTAAGCAACATGCTTCCTGTTTCTAAAGTAAGTGATTAAAAATAACATATAATGTATTCTTCCAAAACAGCTGTTTCTCTGGGACGTTAATACAAGCCTGGATCTTTTTTTTTTTTTTTTTTTTGAGACAGAGTTTCTCTGTGTGGCCCTGGCTGTGCCCAGACTCAGAGATCCACCTGCCTCTGCTTCCCAAGCACTGGGATTAAAAGGTGTGTACCACCACTGTGCACAAGATTACAATTTGTTTTTATTTTTCTGTGGCTTTTGAGGCTGTCCTGGAACTAGCTCTTGTAGACTAGGCTGGTCTCAAGGTCACAGAGATCCGCCTGTCTTTGCCTCCCGAGTGCTGGGATTAAAGGCATGTGCCACCACCGCCTGGCTCAAGATTACAATTTTAAAAAAAGATTTTATTACTTATGTGAGTGGGTGTTTTGCTGGCGTGTCTATCTGTGCATCATGTCCCTGTGCCTGTGTAGGTCTGATGAGGGCGCTGTATAGCATTACAGATAGTTGTTAACCACTTGGATGCTGGGACTCAAATAGATCTGTTCTAAAAGCAGCTAGCATTCTTAAATGCTGACCTGTCTCTGTGGCTCCCTAAAGTGCTTTTGTATGAACAGATGGAACCCTGAACAAAAACTTATTACACTTCATAGCACTAAGATCAATATGCCTATAAATAGTGAACCATGAGTCAAATCCTATAAATCATTTGACTATCTTTAATTTGCTATTTACATTAGGTATGTCTCTTTCCTCAATTTCTGGAAGATGATGACAACAGGTATATCACTCATAAACAACTGGTGCATTAACATACAATTTAGCATATTTCACATAACATACACTTCAGTGTCTCTCAGAATTTTACAAAAGATATCAAATAGCCTATTGGTAATTACAGCTACAGGTTTGTCTGAGAGTAGCTTATGAAGAACATACTTCTAAAATCCAGCATTTGGGTAGCAAAGCTAGGCAGACTACACAGTGAGACTCAGATTCAAACAAACAAGACAAAAACAAATCATCGTTTCCAAAGATAGCTATAACAAAACGCACCCCCCTCCACAGTGTTGAAATTTTTACACAACCCTGAAGTTGTGTTAATTTGTCTCATCTTGAGGTCACTGCCTAAACCCTGCAAGAAAATCATAATTAACCCGGCAAAAATGCTGCTATCTAGAAAAGCAAATGACGAATCTCTAGTATTTAGTTCTGCATGCCTTCTGTTTCCTTTGTTCTTTAGGGTTATCAAGACAAACTTAAATAAAAACTATTTTACTGTTAATTAGGAAATGGAACTTGTTAGGAACTGAATGATTTGTACTCTGCTCATTAGTCTATGTCTAACTCACTGACTGAGATGATCTGACTGGGTAAGATGCAAGTCTTACAGAATAGCCAAAGTGACCACTGACTAAGACAACATCAACAATAGGTAATTTAATATATTATCCACTGAAACTCTCATTTTGTCTTTCTTATTTAGAGTTAAGCAAACTAAACTTGTTGATTGATTATGTAAATAATGACAGATAGCCCCCGAAAACCCAAATTCTAACCATTACTAAGAGTAAAAAAATGATCTAGTGTCTTGCTTCTTGGAAAAACATTTGAGACTTGGTCAACTTACCCACAATGGGACCAGGGTTCACCCCGTATCTCACAAGCTGCTCCAGAAGGTCTTCATTAGAGAGCTCTGTCACATCTAGGTCATCTTTATCTTCTGGTCTCAGTTTGTCAGTTTTCTTTGTGGCTTTCTGTAAGCAAAATACAATTACCTTCTCTACAGGAAAACTATTAATCTACATAGCAATCTCTATGCAATCAACAAGGTGACTTATTGTTACATTAGCCAAAGCAATTTGGTTAAACTAAAAACCATTATTTGCAGGCTTTTCTAACTAAGTTCAACTGTAGTTAGACTGTACAAGCCTGATAACAAGTAACTTAAAACATTGCTGTTGGGGGCCAGGGTATGGCTTAGTGGCAAGGCCTTGCCTAACTGAAGAGACAGTAATGGCATCATCAAGTGTCCAAAAGGAAATAAAAACAAATTAACTTTGTAATAGGAACCTTACATATTTTTAGGAGTCATGGAATTACAGCTATGCTATATCATGATGACTGGCCCAATCTGACTCTTTTCAAACCGGGCTAGCATTTTTTAATGTGTAGTTTGAGTAATCTGGATATAGCATGTAAGAGAATATGAGAAAGTAGGCAAGAATTGTATCACATTTTTATCCCAAGCATCAAAAATGAGACAAAGGGGGGCAAGAGAATGAGTCAGCAGTGAAGAGCACTGGCTGCTCTTAAATTCCCAGCACCCAATTGATAGTTCACAACAGTCTCTAACTCTAGTGTCAGAGGATCTGAATGGCTTCCTAGGGCACTGGACAAGTGACACACATGCAGGCATAACACCATACACATAAAATAAAAGATTAAAACAGAGAAACAACAAACAGAGCCTAGCCCATAAACCAAATAATCCAAAGTACAATTTGATGAGAAAAAATTAAGTCATTAAAAAAAAAATCCATTTCTTATGTTTTTGGTTGTATGCCTGGCCTTTAATGGCCGAGCCATCTCTCTAGCCATAGCTCCACAGTGGAATGTTTGCCTGGCATGCCCTGGGTTTCAGTCTGCCCCCAAAACAAAACAACAAAAACAAAAAACAGAAGACTTTTAGAAGCAGGAAACCAACTCACACTTCCATAATGAAAAACTTTAAGTGAACAAAGAAAAATTTTGAGTGGACAATATGCTCTCATAGAGTGAGCCAGAAAGTAGAGGGTCCATCACATTTAGTAAGAACAAAAATTGGGAAGTGTGTAACTTGGTATATATAATTAACAAAGCAGCAGTTTCAACCAAGAAGCAAGTATTAACTGTGTGAAATTCTCCCTATAGTAGCTCTGTTTAAGTATATAAATTGATCTTTTTCTTTAGGAAAAAACTTATGTGAGCAATTCTTGCTTTGCCAGAATGTACTGCGCATATCACGTGCATGCAGTACTTGTGGAGGCCACAAGAGGGTATTAGGTTTCCAGAACAAGGAATTACAGATTTGAGCAAACATGCCAGTGCTGAGGCAAACCTAGGTGCTCTGGAAGGGCAGCCAGTGCTCCTAAGTGCTATAACCCTGGATGACCTTGAACTCCCAGCAATTCTCCTGCCTCCAGCTCCTGAGTTCTAGAACAAGAGATAAGAACCACCATACTAGCTACTATCCAGTTCCATTTTAAGAGCATTATGTTTGCACTAACTTAAAGAACTCTAGAAATTAACCCAGTAGAGGCAGGGTTTCTCTGTGTAGCCTTGGCTATATCGAAACTAACTGTAGACCAAGCTGGCCTCGAACTCTGATTCAAATGTCTCTGCCTCTAGAGTGCTGGAATTAACACCATCTGGAGGCAGTCAGATCTTTTGAGTTGGCGGCCAGCCTGGTAAAGAGTTCCAGGACAGCCAGGGCTACATCTACAAACTCTGCCTCAACACAACCCCAAACAAAAACAGGAGAAGAAAAAAAAAAAAAAAAAAAAAAAAAACACACCAACAGGTTTCATCATTAGCCAGGCATGGTGGGGTCATACCTGAACCCCTAGCATACGGAGTCTGTGAATAGGACCATAATTTGACGACAGTCTGGGATATATAACAAGTAAATAAATGCAATAAATAAGCATGCATGAAGTTCTGGATTCAACCCTCAGCGCAATCTCCCCTGACAGGCTCACTCAAGAATGTCACTATACTCCACTGGCTCCTTAACAGGGCAACTTGCATACTCTGTACAGGAAAACAAAGAGGCAAATTGCCAACTCCATAAATGTTTACTCTTGTGCCCACTATCTAGATCATTGTAACACCTAAAAATACAGATAGTTAAAAGCCAGAAAAAAAAAAAGCCTAAAAATAAGAAACAATCCGGGCAGTGGTGGTGCATGCCTTTAATCCCAGCACTCGGGAGGAAGAGAGGCAGGTCTCTGTGAGTTCGAGGCCAGCCTGGACTACAGTGTGAGTTTCAAGACAGGATCCAAAAGCTACAGAAAAACCCTGTCTTAAAAAAACACACAAATCAAGGGGGAAAACAAAACATACAAAAACACAGCCTGCCCCCATGACAAAGTAAAATACTATGGTGACATGAAACAATTTGTCCTTTAATTAAAAATATTTCCGAAGGCTGGGCATGGTAGCACATGCCTGCACTCTAACACTGAGGAGACCAAGGCAGGAAAAACACATGAGAACAACTTCACACAAGTAATCATAAATGTTCTACAAGACTTAAAAATGATAATTTAACATCTGAAATCAAAACTAACTTTACTCATGTAGTTTAAAACAATACCATACCAACTGATTGCCAATACCTTTAAGTAGTTGATATCATTGAGTCCAATCAATGCTATACATTTTAAAAAATTTAAATACTGCAGGTGGAAAATACAAACCTATCTATTGTTATGAGACCCTGGGAAAGAACTCCGGCAATAGCGCTGGTTTGGAGATTCATGGGCATAGGAGGTACTCTGTCCCCAACCCCAGTGATGAGGGATCAACACAATGCCCACAGCATTCTAAACTGTCCCTCTGTTCTTGGAAGTACAGACCAACCCTCTGTATATAACAGATGCTCATAAGGGGGGGGGGGTCCTTTCATGTAATGATTAGTTGAGCTGGGATGAGCAAATAGCACAATTTTTAAAAGTAACAATAAAAAGATGACATATCTGCAGAAACCAACTGCAGTAGTTAAGAACACACCTGGAGGTACACACTTATATTATCTGGGCACTCAACCTCAAAAGTCAAAAATAAAATCAGCACACATGAGGAACTCAAACATGGTAACTAGTAGAACTCTTTTGTTTTGAAACAAAGTCTTATGCATATAAACATGAAAGCACACGTTTATATAGATGGCTAACTCCAGCAGATGAACTGGGATTTAATTTTTACATACATTCCAAAGATTTATTTATGGGTTAAAACACTTGGATGATTTAAGAGAAAACCTACCCCCACCATGTATCATTTGAAATGGAAAATATCTTTTTCTTTTGTTTTTTTTTGCTTACTAAATAAGTACCAAGACAGTTCAAATGCTACCCCTTTTTTTGATCTTTGTTTTTGGTTGAGACAGGGTTTCTGTGTAGCACTGACAGTTTGGGAACTCAAAGATCACATGCTGCTCCCTCCAGAGTGCTAGGAAAAACCGTGTGCCACCAATGCCCCCCCTTTTTTTTGAGGTGGGTGGTGGTGCTACTTTTTTAAAGAGCTGGTGGAAGGGGCTGGAGATGGCTCAGTGGTTATGGAGCACTGGCTGCTCTTCCAGACGATCCAGGTTTGATTCCCAGAACCCACAGGGAGGCTCATCATAACCACCTCTAACTCCAGCTCCAGAGGTTCTGATGCCCTCTAATGGCCCCCTTGGGGAGTAAGCATACACAAGACACATAATGCAGGCAAAACATTCACACATACAATTAAAAAGGGAGTGGGGGGCTGGAGAGATGGCTCAGAGGTTAAGAGCACTGACTACTCTTCCAGAGGTCCTGAGTTCAATTCTCAGCAACCACGTGGTGGCTCACAACCATCTCTAATGAGACCTTGTGCCCTCTTCTGGACAGCAGGCATACATGTAGGCAGAATACTGTATACATAATAAATAAATCTTAAAAAAAAAAAAAAGGGAGTGGAGGAAAAAAAAAACAGGTAAGGGGTGCTCTTCAGCTGGGTGTGGCAGCGCAAGCCTTTACTCCCAGCCCGAGGGAGGCAGCAGTGTGTCTATAAAATATGTTCCAGGATAGCCAGGGCAGTTAGAGAGAAACCCTGTATGAAATAACTTTTCAAAAAAGGAAAAAGCAAAAACAAAATTCTCTTGTTTAGAGACAAACTCTCATCAATGCAGCCCACACCTCGGCATCCTGAATGCTGGAATTTCAGATATGAGCGACCACTCTCTGCTAGTAAATCCTACTTAAAAGTGTACTTTAAAAAGGTGTACTTAAAGCCAGGCATTGGTAGTGCACGCCTTTAAACCCAGCACTCGGGAGGCAGAGGCAGGTGGACCTCTGTGAGTTCGAGGCCAGACTGGTCTCCAGAGCCAGTGCCAGGACAGGCTCCAAAGCTACACAGAAAAAAACTTAAAATGTACGGGTGTGTGTGTGTGTTTTACGACATATGTCACAGTTGCACTCAGCTTTTTATGTGGGTGCTGGAGGTCTTTCTATTTGCTCGACAGGTCATTTCCTTAGCTCCCTAAAGTGACTTTAAACCCACAAAAAGCATAGAATCACTGAACCGGAACGAACGAACACACGAACACACACACACACACACACACACACACACACACTTCATTTGTCTACAAAGAACAAAATCCTGTCATAAGCAGAATGTATGAAACTGGAGATTATGTTAAGTGAAACCAGCCAGTCAGTCAGGTATGGCGGTGTACACCCACAATCGCAGTACAATGGAGTCAGAGGCAAGGTCATCCTTGACTATGGTGAAATCAAGACCTATCTCAATCCCCCCTTTCAAAGACAAATATGGCAAACTTTCTCTCATATGCAGAATCTAGATATTTAAAAAGATACATGGTATATATGTAAAGTAGAAGGGGTAAGAAGGGACTAGTGAGAGGGCAGAAGGGGAGAAAATTCGGAAAGAACTTGATACACATGCAAGTAAAACTTTCGGATGAAATCCATTGTTTTAATTTAAAAAATGCAATAAAATGGTA